TTTCTAGAGGTGTGAATATTTCTGTAGCGGTGCTACCTCAATTATGTTACGGCTGTAGTGCTACCATTGCAACCTGTTGTAGTACAAGTGATGTATTGTCGTGAGTTGTAATATGAAATGTATGTGGTAATAAATGTTAAGGTCATAATAGCAATCGTAGGTTGTAATATGCGTTATAGGCTATAAAGCTTGTCGTAATTACTATATAGCATCAAATAAATAAATTTATAATTTATGTTAAAGCCAATTTAATTTGTTTTGTATAGTCATTATGTAAAGCAAATAGTCAATTGAATCAACTCTTGTAGCAGTTTTAGAATATCGATGAATCTTTCAAGAGTTGAATTAAAAAAAGAGTTAAGCAGACTTTAAAAGTTTTAATAGTTGTTACTGGAATAGATATTTATATATAATATTCCAAATCGGGTTTAATATATTATATAAACTTTGCTTTATATAAACTTTGCTTTATATTGAAGTTGACTTATTTTATTATTAATGTTATATTACAGTATATGCATATTGATATTAGTTGTAATGTCTTTTTTTTTACATAAAAAAAATTTTAAACTATACAGCTAATTTAATACTATATCATTTCCCAAGCTATATTGAGGCAAATCAACTACCTCATCAATAAGTAATGTATTTTGTTTATATTCAAGATTTTCAGATATTTCTTTAGAGTCAAACAAGTCTTCTTCCAAATTTATCATCTCAGCAATCGAAGAAATATTAACAGCCTTTCACAATTCTATTTCAGTTAGCTCTTTACTATAATTATTTAATTCAGATTTTATATTTGTCTTATAATATAATCATATTTTTGCCATATTTTCTATTTTTTCAGCACTTAGTCTAGTTCTTTTATCACTAACCATCCACTTTAAAGTAAAAAAATTTCTCTTACAAGCTGCTTGTAATAGAGAAAATGAAAAGAGCTAACATGCTAAGTTAACTAAATGTTTGGGTTTGTTTTTAATTAATGCCCACCATAAAATTGGTAAGTTTATTCCAACTGTATATAGTAAGTCATATGGAGAAAATTTAGCATAATAGCAACAAATCTGTATAATTAATTTATCACATTCATGTTGCGTATAATTAAGACTTTGCCAAAGAGTAGTGGCAGTAATTGCAACTTTCCAAAATCCTCTATCTTTGAGCCCAAGTTCTAAAATTTAAAATTTAATTATATATCTATATCTTAAATTATTAAAATAAACTATTAAATATTAAATAGCCACAATAAATAGGGATGTATATAATATGCTAAAAGATGAATAAGAGGATAAAATTCTCTAAATCATCAATTAAAAATCTTGATTGCAACTTGTTTAAAAGGATTTAATGAAAAAATTTGATGGATCATTACAGCAAGTTTGATCAAGTAAGAAACAATTGGCTAATTTTGTCATGTTACTTTCTACTACATTAATAGCATCTTTGGTTGGTGTCTAAATAGTTTTGATTTGTTGACACATTGTAAAAAACTCATCATCATTTAACAATGCATGTATTTCAGTATTACTAATAACTTCTTGATATTCAGATAATATCTAATAAAAAAAAAGTTTAAATAATTATTTAAAAATATTAAATTTTAATTTTATTTACCCAGTCAAACACAGGTCTAGCTCACAATATAGAATCCGTAGTAAAATACATTGGAGCCCAATGAGTTTAACACCATATATAAAGTCCTTATAATTTAATTTTTATCTCACTTAAGCCTTGTCATAAGTATGAATTACTGCAATATGATCTATCAAAAAATTTAACAATTTTATTACACTTATTTATTAATTATTTAATACTTTTTCTTTAACTAAATCAGATGCAATCAAATTAATTGCATGTGCCATGCAACATATATGGGACTATTGCAGTAGAAAGGGCCAAAACTCAGAAATATATAATTTTAAAAAAAACATGTTTACTTTTTCAGACTGATTCAGATTAATCAAAGATTATGCGATTTGATTGGCTAGCTATATTGGGTAATCTCATAATGTACAAGTTATTCTAAAAAGTTTTTTTAAAATATCTTGATTTTTTATTATACAAACCAATTTCATTTTTAATTGAAAAGTATAGCCCACCTCAAGATTAATCAGAATCTTGAAAAAATGATTTTTAGAGAGTTTGGGCCCTTTCTACTGCAACAGTCTCATATTTCAAATATGAAAATATATTTCTTGAATCTTATTCCATGCATAACAACAAGAAGCTGCATCTGTAACAATGGTAGTAAATTTTTTACTTCTAATTATTTCAATTAAATTAGAAATTTCTGATAACAAAAATTTGCCTGTAAGTACTTTAGATAAATAATTTTGTGTATCTGGAAAATGTGTACTGGGTTGGGTTCAGACGATAGTCCAGATGATGGTCTAGTGAATGTTTTTAAATTTTTACTTTTTTTTTTTACTAAAACTTTATTTTTCAATTATACGATGGGGTTAGAGTCCTATAGCCTAGTGGTCTAGGTGTTTAACCCTCCACAGATGAGATCAACAGTTCGATTATGGCTTGTAGTAATTAATTTAATTAATTATCTCTGTAATCTACAGAAGCTTTTGAATGTGAAACCCTGTGATGATAAGACCATGTGAAGAATTCTTGGAAGGAGTCCTGAATGGTAGAGAAGACTGGACACTATATGTGACATGGCATCACAGAAAGTAATATTATATAAGGCTGTACATATAAATCCTCGATTGGCTAGATAGCACCAACAACTCTAAGGCGGTCTTGGGGATCTTGATTGGGAGGATGGCTAAATGCAGTATATCTGGAAGTGGTGAGAGAAGCGGCAAATACAGTAAGGGGCCATAGTAAGAGAATGGCTTTACCAAATAAAGGAACACCTCTGGCATACAAGATTTGAAATTGGAAAACTAATAAGGAAAACACTACATATCACAATGTCGATAATAGGTGCCATACTGATGTGCTATAAGTCAAGGTTCCAGGCCTCCTTGCATCACCAAGCTGGAAGTAAAACGATCATCAGTAGTACACCCATATAATATAGTTATATTGGGAAGCTTTAGCGCTCATGCTACAATCAATTATACCAACTGTGGAAGCATTGTATAAAGTAGGTGGTACACTGCAGATAACAACTGGAGATTCGATAAATCTAGTCGTGCCATATGGTACCAATACATAGAGGGCTATGTATACCAATATGGAAGCAAGAAGAGCGAAAAACCGCTGGAATGAACCAATTTGCAAGAATTATAAGGTTGCTGCAGAAAGAAGATAGGGGAGTGTAATAAGTATGAAAATAGATAACAATAGAAAATCTTGTAATATAGTACATAATTGAGACTAATTAGGAAGATTGAAATTAAAATACAGATTGTATTACAGCTGCACCCCAAAAGGTGGCGTGAGATACGAACACAATGGCAGCAGTCAATATGTACTAATTGGAAGAAAATTATGAAAAATAATTACATGGTGGGATGTGTAATGGTAGGTTGCTCCAACCGATTCTAGCTTGAAGTTGGCTTGAAATAGTTAATGTAAAAGTAATATAGGAAAATAAGGAGTATAATGCCACATTGGGTAACTAGTAATAGTAGCAACAAATGTAATTAGAAACTGTATATCAATTGTTCTGTAAAAAGGTGTTAATCTTGACTAATAAAGTTTCTATGTTTGGCAATATAAAAAAAAAACAAAATTATATGATAATATAAAGTAATTAATATTTAATGCAATTTGCAATGCATATCTAATGCATAGAATAATACAAATAAACTTGAATTTTAACATTATAATAGTTTTTTTTTTCAACCTTTGGTTGTTTTCTGTGATATTCTTTGATAAATTATATACTCTTTGCAATTAATCATTCTTTATACCCTTTATTTTAAACTGATCAATATTTTCTTTTTGGATATTTTTTGACTATATGAAATTTGATAAAATATATAGGACACTAACTTGTCTATTGATAGAGATTTAGATTTTCAAATCCTTCTTGAAATATTCAATTTAACAAGAAGTTGGCTATTATTGTTAATGTTACTAATGATAAGTTGAAAACTTTTCAATAGATATAATATGCATATTAGATCTTTGTTGCTATATAGTTATTAAATGAATTCTGAATTGTTATTAATTAAAATTTAAAATACCAATCTAATTAAATATTACTTTTAGATGACCATAAATTTCTTATTTTCACATTGATTATTATAGTTTCAACTTGTGACCCATAAGCGACAAAAGTATTTGGTAAAGTAATATAGATAGATTTGGTTATTATAGCTTCAACTTGTGATTTATAAGCAACGTAGGTATTTGGCAAAATGACATAGGTAGATTTGATATATTCTATTATTTTGTTTAACTAAGTCCTAATTTGATAGTTTTTTGTTTATAATTAACTAATATAAAATACATGTTATAACAAATTTTGCATTGCTTTTTTTTGCAAAAAAAAAAAACTAACAAAAAACATTATTGATTATGATTAACTAATAACAGCAAGTAATTTTATTTTTATTAGCAAGATGACGTATGTATGTAATACGTAATTTTCATTTCTAGTTCTAACTGTTCATACCATTCTGATCTAGCTTTCCTGACAATTATCTGATCCCAACCCAGTACACATTTTCTAGGTGCTAATTTCATAACTTTAAAAGATATTCTGTAAATACAATATAATTATATATAGAGTCTGAACATGAAGATGTCCAGCCATCTAGCACTAAAATAAAATTAACAAAATTATATATAAATTAATTAAATTATATTTATTACATACTTAAAGTTAGATTATTACAATTTTCAAGTTCCTTATTAACTGAATCTGCAATTTGTGCTACTTCAATATCCAAAAGTTGCCCAGATAGTATAAATCTAGATGGTGGATTATACTTTAATTTTTTAAATAAATCCTGCATAAAAAGATTTTCAATCACATTAAACAGAATTCCAGATGTAACCCATGCTTTTAATAATATTTGATCAATTTGGCACTATATTTCTTGAGAAAGAAAATCATCTTGTGATTTATTTGTTAAAGTATTATCTATCAAACAATTATTAGCCTTTTCAACTAATTTTAGGTGCCAATAACTACTAACATCTTCAGGGCATTTTAAACAGTAATTGGCTAAATGAACTTTCATAACTTGTAGTTTTTCACATTCCCAGGCAGTTGAACAATAAAAACAAGATGCTTTGTAATGACCATTGCCCTTACTAGAACCTTGTTTATAAAATGACCAAATTTCATCAAAAATAGGGCCACTAGTTCTTTGTCTCTTATTTGAAAAGTCGAACTAGAGGTATCAATATCAACTGAATTTTCATTTTCGTGATTCATTTTTTTTTTGTTTGAAAAAAATACAAAAAAAATTTAATCAAAACTTTTATATAATATGTATTTGGTATGTTATATAATTACTTAATGCATACAATAAGTATATTTTGTATCCTTTTTTAATTGTTAATCAACTTATATCATTAGTAAAAATATAAATCACTTTGAAATCAGTATAAAACACTGTTATAACATCGTAATTACAATATATTAAATATTTTTTTTAACAAACTTGAGTTTTATTTATTACAATAATAATAAGTTATTCTTTTAATCGGTAGAATTAATGAATGACACATATTAATTAATATAAAATTGACAAAATATATGGTTAATACTATATAAGTTATAGTCTATATGACAACTACGAAATATACCACATACTACTAAAGTTATGATTTACATCATAATAATTTAGTACTACCGCAGTTACAACTTACGGCATTACTACAAAAAAGTTGCAACTTAACTACAATGTGTCGTAACTCATTACCTCAATTCATTCACAACAATACCAATTTCACCAATAGTGGTGAAATTATTTCACCACATTTCACCATATTTCACCAGCATATATAGTATTGAGCCAAGTATAATATATAATCCAAAAAAGTAAAAAATTAATAATTTTTTTAATGCTAAATTAAAATTTTTTAAAGGCATGAAATTTCCCTGAACTTTCAACTAGAAAATTCTTATCTACTTTATCATGTTCAAATGAGAAAACTTGAACTAGAGTAACTCCAGCTTCTTTAGGACTAACTCCATAACCATTCATCATAACAGGAACAATATTTATATCCGTACCAATATTAAAAAGAGAAGTCGGTTTTAACAAACCCGTGGTAGAATTAACATCATTAACATATCCATGTTGTTGCATTCTTATTCCTAATCTTACCATAGCAGCAGTGATATCAACACTGCCTACAACTAAAGAATTGTTTTTATGTTCTAAAGTACTACGCCACATAGCAACAAAACCCGCGAAATGAGGAGAAGTTACTGGAGTTGCAGCATTCGCACTTGGTAGATCAACGAAAACTCTAATAGCATATGGGCCAACTAATTTACCTGTCTCTATGGTAACTTTTACAAAAAAACGCGTACAATAATGTGGATCAGGTTTATAAAGTCCAAGAACATAATTTTGCAATTCCTTTGGACTTTTACCCCTGAATTTTTCTAGCTCAAGATAAGTATAACCAAGTTTCGTTATATCTCGAACGTCTAAAGATCTCCAAAATTCCGTTTCAGATTTTCTAAATGGTTCTAGATCCGTGTATTCGTTAACTACATAATTCATACCTTCGGTATAAGTACCATTCCCATTTATATTTTGAGGAATCCAACTATTAGGAAATCTTTAGAAAATTTTTTTTTTAAAAATTTAATTATCTAAAATTAAATAATTAAATTCACACACACTTTAAATAAAATAATACTAACATTCCTTGCCAAAGAGCAATAATTCGATCTACATTTACATGATGAAAGTAAAATATAGGGTCAAATCCGGTTATATCAACATAAGTCATGTGACCACCAAGACCTCCTGTTATTAAGTGTAAACCATCATGAGTTGTTTCAATCGAAGCGAAATGGGCATATCCAAGGTTTTTTTTAGGATCTGGTTCTGGATGACCAGGATTTGATTCTGGCATTTCTTGATCACTCGATGTTACAATATGATTACTAAAATGCAAGTAGTTGGAAATATGATACATTTGGTAAAGGCCTGGTCTTAATACAGAAGGAACATAAACTGAAAAATTTTGATTTAACAAATCGTATTGATCTTCATAATTAGAATTTGGATGTCTAATGGTTGGATACCCTTTTGGAGTATATGGATTATATGTCATGTTGGGAATGTTATAATTTGGTTTATCGGTTGGATTTTGTCCTTTCTGTAGCGGTGTTGAAAGATTTGTAGGTAATATATAGCTTTTTAAAGGGTTTGACACATTTTTTTTACCCTTTGGAGTATTTATTTCAATGTAGGAAGTCAAAAAAATCTCAGGAACACCTTTAACAGCTTTTTCATCAGCCCAATCCCAGTAAGGATGACGAAGTTGTTTAGCCGCTTCAATGTATTTATCTCTTTGTTTTGGAGGATATTGTGAAGCAATTTGCTTAGCTTCATCAATTAGCAGAGTTTCCATTAATTGCATATATGGTCTATGCCAAGTTGGAAATAAAACATTACCATGGTGACAATATCCACCCCAACGACCTTCAGAAAATTCAGACGACATGTATGGATTAGAACCAGTAACTCCATCATAGGCAGTATATGGCAAACCATGTATACCAGAGACCTGATAATATGACCTCATATCTTCATATGGACGGTTCTGAAGGGCCTGATAGCCTTGAATTAATAGATCAAACTGAGAGCGGTATGTTTCATTACCGTAGAAGTCAAAAATATCCAGTCTTGGGTAAATGTCCTCATATGGTAAAATAATAACCTTTTCATTAAATGTTGCCACACTTCTCACATGAGAAACGTACGAATTATGTGAAGAATGACTTAATCCCATTTTAACTGTTCTACTGTATTGTCACTACTATTATTATATTTTGGTGAATTCTTAAATTGAGGGAAATCTTTTATCTTTATATTAAAATTCTTCTTTTTTTTTTTTTTGTTTTCTCGTTTTTTTGGTAATGGACCCATTGTTAAGCTATTTTCATATAAAAATTTCATAGAGTCAATAGTCATAAGTAGGGCTGTTAAAAGTCCGATTCTTTCGGTCCTGACTTTGTAAATAGGGACTTCGATTAGGACTCGTCGAGTCCGTACATGTAATAATCAGATAAATCTCGATATAAATTAGCCAATCATATGAATGCCTCCTGAACACAATACGAACAAACAACATGCATTTGACCAATTATATGGATCACAAATTGGAACAAAAGACATGCATATGGGATAGAGACCACGGACAGATAGAGACCACGGACAGATAGAGACCACGGACAGATGCGATCACATAATAGGCGCATAAAATGCGATTAGTTGTTATTGTTTTTACGAGATTTATGCGGAATTTGTGCGAGCATTTTTAAACGAATAATAAAAGCATATGTATATAATTGTTAAATCATCTTAAATCCTTAATTATCACATTATACAATGATAGATCAAAATTATAACAATACGAAATATGTATATGGTTCCTCGCATAAATATCGCACATTTGAAATTATCACATCGCACCATAGTGCGGTTCAAATCGCATATGTCCGTGGTCTCTAACGTGGTTGGTTCTAATTGTTTGCTCTAGATATAGTACTCGTAAAAAAATCACTAAAATATCTGGGTCACCCGAGTAAATATGATATCTTCCTGATAAAATTTATTCTGTAATGACCTTATTTGACTGTAATTTCACTGAAAGTGTCCCTTATTTGGTGTGTCCTTGTTCGACCAGAATTTCACCAGGAGTATCCTTATTTTTCCTTCAAGTGCGTCCCCAGAAGGTTTGGTGTTTGAATTCTCAATAGTGATTCTAGCACAGTTGCTGCCCCCAGCATAACTTGAACCGGTGAGCTTACGATTAGAACCGGGAGCGTAACCATATCTATCGATCTACGGGCGAATTTATAATAAAATTTTTATAATTAACAAAGATTAAAATTTTAAAATAGAATCTTTATAATTAACGTTTTTTCTTTTTTTAAATAAAAGATTTATTATTATCAATTTTTAAATTTTTCAAAATTCCTTTTAATAGAAAAAATCGACATTCGCGACCGTGCATTTTCCCAAACTTCCTTTACATTTATGCAAAAGTACGCCCACTATTATAATTACTTAAGTATCACAGGTTGAAATAAAGTATATCAGATAAACGTCAGCAAAGTAACATACTGTATATTGATTTTAATATTATAAATAGGGACAATACCAGATATATATCAGGAACAATAAGTAACTATCATATGCTCGATTGTTCTATCTGCCCCTGAAAATGTATATCTGAATATGATATTGTCCTATTTTATAACATTAATAAATAGAAATAAGTATATGATATTTATCTGATTACACTATGATAGAATGTTCTGTTTAGTTCAATAAACACACACGAAATTTCTTAAAGCTTCTCTTTATATTGATGTTTACTTATGGCTAGGGCTGTTAAAAAGCTTGTTGGACCCGGTTCTTGAGTCGCCTTCACACGGACTTTTCAGGACTGACTCAAACCTGTCTCGTACAAAGTCCCATATTAGAGACCACGGACATATGCGATTTGAACCGCACTATGGTGCGATGTGATAATTTCAAATGTGCGATATTTATGCGAGGAACCATATACATATTTCGTATTGTTATAATTTTGATCTATCATTGTATAATGTGATAATTAAGGATTTAAGATGATTTAACAATTATATACATATGCTTTTATTATTCGTTTAAAAATGCTCGCACAAATTCCGCATAAATCTCGTAAAAACAATAACAACTAATCGCATTTTATGCGCCTATTATGTGATCGCATCTGTCCGTGGTCTCTAAACCACGTATTATAAAATAATAGATTACTGTAACTCATGTAAAATTCTGTAAGTAGTCACATTCGCGTCTACATTTCCCTTATAATTATCATCATCCTTATTTTTACCCTGTCTCTTGAACTTCCTTATTACCCCTGCATCATCATAATCTGATCGTCTTATTTGACCTCCCTTAACAATTAAACCGTCACACCATGATTATTGCTATTACAATATATCCGTTATACTATGATAAACTGTGGACTCGTAACGGTAAGGGTACAATCGTCAAATATTCGGGAAACAAAATATTTCCACCATTCTACGCCCCATCATTATGTCTAACTAAGAAACCTAGTTGATCGTGTTCTTTAAACTTGTCAGATTATCATAGTAACACTCGGCTTTCATTTATTATTGGCAATCTGCTATTATTTGATTTCTTACACTTAGTCATTCCTGTACATTATATATTGGTTATTCTATGCACATATATCATATTACCACATATTTTATCTTCATTTACTATCCTGACTATATTGGCGCTAGGATATAGCTCCCTCATCCGATAGTAACATTGTTACGGAAAGTTAATAAATAAATTGTACGTGACGTCCTGCGGAGATCATGCCAAGGTTTTAAATTTTTTTTTCATTTACGTAACTATCTATAACTACATATAAAGGTTTTATTAAAATTAAAAATTTTTAATAAAGAAAAATTAATTCATAAACTTATTTTTTGTCGCACTATCTTTGCTAGGAGTTTTAAAAGATTTTAGCCGTAACTTATGTTGGATAAACATCTTTGATCTTTTTAAAGCTTTGATCAAAGAAACATTGTTCGATAACCACCTGATTGAATGAACTTTGCAATAACTGTCTAACTGAGTTGATAATTATTTTTGTCGAATTTAGCTAGATAATTTTAAATTATATTTGTTAAGAGCCTTAAAAAAACTACAATTTTATATTTAACTTATGTTTGGTTAGTCTTTTAAATCTTTGAAGATACATGACAACCACCTACTAAATTTAATAAAAAAACTTTTTTTTACTTTAATTCTAAGAATATAAAAATCAATATAAAAAGATTTTCATTGGATTGGACCGGATACGCATTTATTGTTCTGCCTTTGCAGAAAGCTTCAAAAATTCATAAATTGCTTCCATTTAGTAGGCTTTTAAAAAATTCGATTAAAAATTGTCTAACCATATTCAATGGGATGATTAGAGATTGGAAAATTATCTTAACTGTTTAATCTTTAGGGAGGATTTAAGAAGAGTTAACCACAATATCATATGAATATCATTCGGCTTAAGTTAGGGTTAGGTTATGGTTAGTTTAGGAGCATAGGTTAGACCAGTCTATTTAATTCTGCTAAACAAAATGATGTCATGATTTGTTTAAATTATTTGGTCCAAAAAAGTAGACAAATTAAAGTAAAAACGTTTTTTATCAAATTTGATTTTCCTGAATATGATCGTTTCAAATGTATAGAATTAACTAAAACTTGAATAAATTTTAATTATAATTATCTGGCGGTTTCGCCGCATGATTTCAACTAATAATTATATATAGCGTGCAATATCATACATAGTAATGTAACAATACCAATTATTGATAATGTTGTAGGTTGATATGGAATATCTATAGATTCGGAATCCATTTAAATGGATTTTGGATCTTTAAAACAATTTTAAGTAAAAATTAAATATTTAATGTGAACAGAAATAATTTTAATTATATAATATTTTACAATTAAATATATAATGTAATATGTTATTATAAAAATACAAATCAGAGCGTTTATATTTGAATTTCGTGCTAGTCACAACAATTTTAAATTTAATTATTATGGTTCCGTAAGTTTATCTTGATACATTTCAAATCGTTAAATTCGATTAGTAGTATTAAAAATTTCGGTATACATAATCATTGATACAAAGATTATTTATTATTTTTCATGTTGGATTTAGTTTGGAATTCGGTATTATTTGAGCAGTTAGATTGGCTTCAAATCTTAGTCTGCCCAATATCAATCTCTAAGCCTACGTTACTAGGTAATAAGTCCCGAGATAATAAGATCTTAGTTGTTTTGTGCAATAAAAGTCTAAAGACATTCATTTAAAACAATTATAAACCAAATCATTAAAGACTTGTTCAGAAATAAAAGGAAAATTGTCATCTTAGGTTGAGAATAATGTCGAATTAAATTAACTCAATAAAATAAAGTAGAAGATTACTTTAAATATATTCCTTTACTAATAATATAATCATTTTAAATGTATATTATTGCATAAAATTCCGTAACACTCAAGTTTTTTAATATTCCAATTCAACTTAAAAGTAGAAAATAGATTCCGAATTTAATCTATTTCGTATCCACTTACAATACATATATCTGACCTTTTATCCTTGAGGTAATGTTTAATAAAAATCGACTTTCAAATTGATTTGGTCGTCAGAATATAGATTGCCGAAACTTTAACTAACTGAATGTAATTGATATGTCGATCTGAATTTAGTGTCTAATTGGTTATAGTTATAAATATAGGATTAAATATAATTTGAATGAGAATAAATCTATATGTATGGATAGTATAATGAAGCTAATAATAAAAAATGTTTTAAGATTTGATAGATTATTGTTCTTTTATGTGCTGTTTTAAAATTTACCAGATGATTAAATTTTAAATAATTATTATTGTCGTGCTTCTCTCTTTGTTGATTGTAAATAATAGGTTAAATTTTTTGTTCTCTGATAATTCTCAAGGTGTAGTAGTATAAATTTCGGGTACGGATTCGTTCCGGATAGATTTCCAAACCCGTGGTAATAATAAATTTAATTTCGTTAAAAATATTTTCTTTTTTTTGGTTTGATTATTATCTTCTAATTTTCAATTTTGTCTAATAGAACTCATTAGTCAAAGAAAAATAAAATGATATCAATACTTGATGAATGAAGTCATAATAATGAAGTTTAATGTCTCCCAACATTAAAAACAATTATTCAATATGTAAAAATAAACGATCACTGCCATTATTAAGCATTATGATTAATATTATATTTAAAACAATCCTCTTTTAAAATTATTTATACGAAAGATCTAGAAATTAGTGTGAAGTTTTTGCAAATAGTAATTGTTACGCATTTCAACATTCCCACGTTCTAGAATTAAGTCTATTGTGACGAGTTTTTGCAAAAAATACGGCATATAAATAGGGATTATCTGGTTTAACCATGCTTTTCAAATTACTAATTTTATGCATCACGCACCATGGGAATTTAGAATCAGAAATCTATTAAAACATAAGCCTGGGAAATCAGCTAAAAATTAGCCCAATTATTTAAATATTTGCAAAATTTAAGGAAAATAAATAATGACGAACTATTCAACTGACGCAGTTAAAGAAGTCACAAAACTATGCAGCTTGTAGAAATGTAAGTACTTTTTATTAATTACTATTTCTGATGTAGTCGAAAATTTGCAACGCTTAGACTGTACTGTATTTAAAATTATTTATATGTGCTGTTTCATTTTTATGACAATAATCAAAAACCAATTTACATACTATTAATCATTCAACAATAAATGAATATGCAATTTATAATAACGAAAAATTCACAATAATGGCAATACATTTAATATCATAAAAACATAATATAAATAAGTTTTTATATAAATTTAGATTAACTCAATAATTAATCAACCTTCAACGGCTGTAAAATGGGTTGAAACCTATTTTCTAATATATAAAAAATATCATGATTATATTCGCGATTTAAACAACCATAGCTTTCTAAGTTGTTGTGATGTCGGTTCACATACATAAAAATTTGCCAAATCTTCATGCAACTTTTCAAAAGACCAGTACATAAGATCATTAAACATGTATTTATAATGAGGTTCAAATTTCCAGTTTGAAAAATCTTTATCTTTCACAGTGCCCCATTTTGTTGAATCTCCTTTACCAAGATACCAAACCTCGTAATTATTTGGTATTCTATGGCATACTATTGGTACTAACTCATTCATTTCTTGATCCCTTGTTCCTCTAAAGCCACGTAGCTGATAATTATTGTAGTAAATTTTTGAATCATCATTATTTTCGTGATGACCTAAAGGCCCCAACATAAAGTACCACAAAAGTAGCAACTTTCAGTGCATCCAAGCATTTTCATAATTTATTTATCATCAGATAATTTTTTAAAAGGTTCTTTGTTTTCTTGGTTTGAATAGCAGTTATCTATTTTGACACTAATCTCCTTTATTATAATATCACTAAAGGTTTTTAAATCTTTATTTTCAAATATTATAGAGTATCTAATTTGTAGTCTATTTTGTCAACTTTTGTCATATAATTATTTACAAATGATTTGATTTCTTCATAATCTTTACAGCCGCAAATCTTACGATAAATTTGACCTATCTCATCTCTAAAAGTGTCATTATATATATGCTCCGGATTCTCATCTACAACAATATCAACAGTAAACTTAAACCAACTTTCAATATGTTGTTTTGGGTTTTTGAAATGATTTAAAGCATTTTCTTTATAGCCATTTTGAACTTCAATAGCGAGCTCTTCAAAATACTTTAATCTTACTGTCTCTGTACAAGTCAACCATGGAATCTTCTTTACCCATCTCTGAGTGCAAAGTTCCCAGCTTTCATTGCTTTTTATAAATAACTCTTAATAAATAATCAACAACAATATATGCTTCAGAAACAAGTGTAGATTCATGTCGAAGCCGAGCATTAATAATATTAGAGTACTCTTCTTTCTTTTGATCAAGTATGAAAAGTGGATGATTTTCTTCATCCCATATTTTCCGATATTTTTTTGATTTTACTTTAAATTTTGTCAAGGCATAAATGTGTGCTCTGTGTTTAAATAGTGGAAAAGCATTAAAAGTTATTGAATTATTAGATAATGTTTTTTTATTTTACTTTTAAGGTCATTAACTATTCCATTATAAATTTGCTGCAACGAATAAACATGTTCAATTACGGAAATCATCACTAGGATCGGTGAGATTTCGACCTTCATTAATGATTCCATTATAAGCGAATATTTCATATGAAAGAGTTGTTTGTACTAGTATTGATCCTCAAAATGAAAGAATCCATCTAAAGTAAATCAATAATATGTTTAAATTCAGTATTATGCCCACTGCCATCTTTTGGAAAATAATCTACTGAAAACATGTTGCTCCCTTAGGAACTTAAACGGTTAATTCGGTACCATATATATTAGAGATATAAAAAAATGTGAAAAATAAAATAGCTAGCAAATAATTTCTAATATATTTGCTGCAATTGATTGAATTCATTATGATAAAGAAATGTTTAATGAACTTTAATATTGTAAGATGATGTATAATACACGTAGTGATAGGGTGTTCAATAACCTAATTGATCAAAACATGGTTAGGGTCATGAAGTTCGGATTTTTTAAAGGGTTATTTCACGTATAAATTTATATATGAATTTGTACTAATTTAGGTACATTTTTCTACACAAC